TTAATAGAATGCTGTGTCTTTTAGCAACCAACACGATGGTCAGCTCACTTTGAATAAAAGTCGTTTCTCTCTATATATTATAATAAAAAAAAAGTAGGTAGATAGTAGCGGTCAAGTAAACTATAAGGTCAAGTAAACTAATAACTAATAAGTAAAATGTGATGAACTTTCTATACTACGTAAATCGCCATGGAATTAAAGAGTAATGTTACACTCATAAAAGTCATATTTTAGCAAACCAAACAAATATGCAAACTAGAAATAAAGAATTTTCGTCGAGACGCGTCATGGCAGGCATTTCAAACTGCCTGGCTAACCTAACCTAATCATGTCTTTGAGGAAAGAGTAATTTACTTTTGTGTCAAGTTTGTGAAAATGGTGAACTGCACTAATTAATATACCTTTTCAAAGTGTACAGTACTCTGTTCCTATCATCCAATCCTTCCTCAAATTCATCCTCGATGCTGGGTTTCATATTTAAGTAAATAATTTTATGTTATATTTCTATGTAATCATGTACATAGTTTGTTTTTTCTGTTTTAATTTTAGTCTGTATTATTAATGTTATTCTTATAATCGTTGGGCTACAATATTTTAAATAAAAGCTATAAAAAAAAAATAATAAAAATTTAAAAAAAGTGTACAGTATTTAAGAATATTTATACACCATATTATCAGTGTATAATTATAAATAATTCGCCATTGTATTTGTATACTTATTTCAGCATAGGCTAAACTAAAAAGAATTTCAAAATGAGTTTTGTGGTCTATATAAATAATTGTTTTTCAATACTTCATTTGTTATCTTCTAATTTTAGCTAATTATATGAATTATCAATAATCATGACTCATCAGTAGTAAAAACATCTTAAAGTAGTTATATCTGAAACATGTTAGATTATATTTCAGACAATAATAATCCATTTTGTTATTCTCAATGTTTTTAAAATAATAAATTAAAATGGAAAACAAAATTCTTATAAAGCTTAACTATAGTTTTTTATTTTTTTAAAGTTCAATACAAATCACGAAAATGAATGATTGAATTAATAAAAAATTACAAACATATTTAATTATAATTGTGTGAAACAAAATTAAACAGTAATTTTTAAGTAAAAATAAAATAAAAATGTATGACACAAAATAATATTAATATATTATAATAAAATTATTAAGTAAAAGTTTAAGAAGTACTTCTTTAACACCGTTCAATTGTTTTTCTGAGGTGTAGCCACAATAACAGTTTTCACTTCAGTGTAAGGTTGGAGACCATATTCAGCCATCTCACGTCCCTGACCAGACATTTTAAATCCGCCAAATGGTGCTTGAGCTCCAAATACATTGTAACAGTTAACCCTGATTGAAAATAATATTTTCTGATAATTTAGTTAAGAATAATAACATATATTTTCAGATATTCTTATCAATGACTTATCTTTTATAGTACATTTAGGCTACACTAAACCCAGCTAATGTATTTTATGAAATAAGTTTGACTACTAACCAAACTGTTCCAGCTCGAACACTTTGCACTACTTTGTTGACCGTATCAATATTTTTCGAGAACACGGCTGCTGCCAAACCATAATCGGTGTTATTTGCACGACTTATGACCTCATCGAAATCTTTAAACTTCAATATTTGTTGTACCGGTCCAAAAATCTAGAAAAAATATCAACATTTAAAATGTTTAACACCATGATGTGTTACGATAATCTAATAATGAATAAACTTTAGCAGCCGTTTAAAATTTTACTTCTTCTTTTGCAATTTTCATGTCATCTTTAACATTTGCAAATACAGTTGGTTGTACAAAATATCCTTTATCTCCTACACGAGACCCACCAGTGACTAACTGAGCACCTTGTTGTTTACCACTCTCTATCAAACTAAGAATCTTAGTCAATTGTTCTTGGTCAACCTGTAAAAAAATAATGAACCTTAATGCCAACGGTGAAGACATATGGGATGTACGCTGTGTGTAGCGTATACTACTGACATTACTTATACTGAATTTTAAAGTTCATACATATAAGCACACATTTGAAAAATTTACCTGAGGTCCTTGAACTGTATTAGGATCAAACTGATTGCCCACAATGCGTTTCTCAGCAAGTTTTGCACTTTTCTCAACAAACTCATCATAAATTGACTCTTGTACAAATGTTCGTGAACCGGCACAACAGCATTGCCCCTGAAATGAAGTTTTATTGAAGTAACGATATATTTTATATAATTGGAGTAACTTTTTTTAAATTACCATATTGTAAAACAAACCATAGTGGGCTCCTTGTACAGCTTGATCAATGTCTGAATCATTGAATATAATGTTGGGAGATTTTCCTCCAAGTTCAAGTGTTATTCGTTTTAAATTAGTTTTAGCTGCACCTTCAGCAATAAGTTTTCCAACCTGTAATAATTTGATTGTTGTAGAATTAATCAATGCATAAATAGTACATGTTGTATAAATTGTATTACTTCTGTGGACCCAGTAAAAGCAACTTTGTCTACACCTAAATGATCAACAATTGATTTTCCTGTTGCTGGGCCGTCACCTGGGACAACATTTATAACACCCGGTGGAAAACCTGCTTCTTTAGCAAGACTAGCAATGTATAGAGCGGTCAAAGGAGTCTGCTCAGCAGGCTTAAGCACAATGGTGTTACCTATTCAACAAACATTATACCATAAATTACAAATATAATCGCGTTAAACCTTTTCCTATAACCTCTTACCCATAGCTAAAGCTGGTCCAAACTTCCAAGATAACATTAACAATGGAAAGTTCCATGGAATAATTTGGCCACAAACACCGACTGGCTCGTGTCTGGTGTATGCAAAATAATTTCCATCGATAGGCGTCACTTTACCATGGTTTTTGTCAGCCCAGCCGGCATAGTAGCGCAACACATTAATACTTCCAGGAATGTCATCTGATAATGAGACTTTATACGGCTTCCCGTTATCCAACGATTCCAGGCTCTATAAATATAATATATAAATTACACCTTTACAATAACATAATAGACATATCACATTTTGTAAGCTGATAATAGGTTATAAAATATAAAATACATACTGCCAAATAAACAATGTCGCGTTCCATTAAATCAGCTAATTTATTAAGTAAAACTCCACGTTTTGAAGCATCCATTGTGCGCCATGGGCTACCCAACTTGAACGCTTCTTGTGCAGCTTCAACGGCATTATTAACATCAACCTAATTTGATAATTGAAAAAATTAATAAAAAAATTTGCATGACTATTTTAAAATACTGAAACATACACTATTGCCTTCCTGCACTTGAGCAATTGCTTCGCCAGTAGCCGGATTGAGTGTTTCAAACGTCTTACCAGATGATGCTTTTACAAATTCATTGTTGATGAACAACTGTTAATAACAAAAAATTAACCAGTCCAATTATTATACATTCTACCAATAAAAATATTAACTAATAATTAATATAAATATAAAAGATTTCTATGGTAAGTGTAAAAGTTAGATAAAATACAAAAAAAAAATGTTTAATGTGAATATTGATTACATATAGAGGGGGGTTTTTGAATTAAGAAATTCAATTAATATATTTTTTTTTTGTAACAAAAATATATCAAATCACTGAATCATAAATTTCCTTATAATACATTACCAAAAAATAAAATAAAATTATTAGAACATTTTACAAAAATAAGTATTGTATAACTACTCTAAAAACATTAGGTTTAAGTGGTGTAATAAACTATAATTTAATTAACAAGAACCCGTCTTGTATTTTTTAAAACTTCAAATTGTATGTATACATTTTCTAGGTTTAATTTAGTAATCATTTACTTAAATAACTCTACATAATAAATTATACTGTTTTAATAAAACTGCAACTAACACTAGTATGTTTTCTCTAATACTTGGGTACTTAACCTACAGTGATATAAGAACACATAAATATTATAATATAATATAGTTATTAAAATTATTGAACTCTACCTCAGTGTATTTAATATCCGGATTGGGTATCGCAGCTTTCGGTGCATTACTCAGAAAACATCTTTGTAAAGCTGCGGGCAACTTGCTAGTTTTGTTCATTAAACGATACATAGCGTATTAATTATGATTCCAATTCACAATATTAAAAATATAAAAAATAAGATTCTAAATAAAAATAAAAAAACCCTGACTATCTGAGAGAACGAAAACTTACAAGTGACTGGCATAAGCAACTACTTTACTTTTTATATCTGGCCACTGCCGTAAGCGTACCAATATTTATCATAATAACATACGTTGATAAATTTTTTCATATGCGTGATAATATACCTATATGTTATTCAGTAGAGAGTAGACTCGTTTTAACGTTAATTATGGCTTTCAAATAACATATTGCGGCCAGCTCCAAGGCCAAATCGCCGGCTTCGGGCTTTCGTGTAGGACCGTATCACGCTGTCACATCAATCGAGAAACATTGTTTTATATAAACATATGTTTGGACATTGTAATGTGCGTCACAAATATTATTATTTAATAATTTTTTACTGATAAAAATACTTTACGCCACATAATAATATTATATTCCGTGATGTAGCCATGTAGGTATAAGGTGTGTGCAAACCGATTGTTTATGCTATGATAAGCTGAATTAAAATTTGTATGTGATAATCACGGTCAAAAGTGTGATGATAATTAATAAATATCAATAAAATTAACAATCAACTAAGTACTAAGTAGGTATACCAGAGATGAAATATATTAACGTTTGTTATGTAATTAATAATTGCTTTTATATAAATTCCGTTAACCACCTATTTAGATTATATTTCAAAAAATATATCCATATTGTTACTTTCAATGTTTTTTTTAAAAATAATTGGATATAAAAACTATAATTTATAGTTTATTTATTAAAAAAACAACATTTATATAAATTTGATATATATAAAGCTTATTTCTAGTTTTTTTTTTTTTTTAAAGTTAAATACAAATCACGAAAATTAATGTTTGAATTAATAAAAAAATAAAAAATATATTTTATTACAATTGTGTGTAACAAAATTAAACAGTAATTTTTAAGTAAAAATAAAATAAAAATGTATGACACAAAATAATATTAATATGTTATAACAAAATAATAAGGTACTTATGTTACACAGTTCAATTGTTTTTCTGAGGTGTAGTCACAATAACAGTTTTCACTTCCGTGTAAGGTTGGAGACCATATTCCCCCATCTCACGTCCCAGACCAGACATTTTAAATCCGCCAAATGGTACTTGAGCTCCAAATACATTATAACAGTTAACCCTGATTGAAAATAATATTTTCTGATAATTTAGTTAAGAATAATAATAATATATGTGTAAGATATTCGTAACAATGACTAATCTTTTATAGTACATTTAGGCTACACTAGACCCAGCTAATGTATTTTATGAAATAAGTTTGACTACTAACCAAACTGTTCCAGCTCGAACACTTTGCACTACTTTGTTGACCGTATCAATATTTTTCGAGAACACGGCTGCTGCCAAACCATAATCGGTGTTATTTGCACGACTTATGACCTCATCGAAATCTTTAAACTTCAATATTTGTTGTACCGGTCCAAAAATCTAGAAAAAATATTCAACAGTTAAAATGTTTAACACCATGATGTGTTACAATAATCTAATAATGAATAAACTATAGCAGCCGTTTAAAGATTTTACTTCTTCTTTTGCAATTTTCATGTCATCTTTAACATTTGCAAATACAGTTGGCTGTACAAAATATCCTTTATCTCCTACACGAGACCCACCAGTGACTAACTGAGCACCTTGTTGTTTACCGCTTTCTATCAAACTAAGAATCTTAGTCAATTGTTCTTGGTCAACCTGTAACAACATTATGAACCTTAATGCCAGCGGTGAAGACATATGGGATGTACGCTGTGTGTAGCGTATACTACTGACATTACTTATACTGAATTATAAACTTAATACATATAGGCAGACAATTAAAAAAATTACTTGAGGTCCTTGATCTGTATTCGGATCAAACTGATTGCCCACAATGCGTTTCTCAGCAAGTTTTGCACTTTTCTCGACAAACTCATCATAAATTGACTCTTGTACAAATGTTCGTGAACCGGCACAACAGCATTGCCCCTGAAATGAAATGTTACTGAAGTAACAATATTTTTAATAAATTTTGATTAACATTTTTTAAATTACCATATTATAAAACAAACCATAGTGGGCTCCTTGTACAGCTTGATCAATGTCTATATCGTTGAATATGATGTTGGGAGATTTTCCGCCAAGTTCAAGTGTTATTCGTTTTAAATTAGTTTTAGCTGCACCTTCTGCAATAAGTTTACCGGCCTGTCATAATACGATTATTGTTGAATTAATCAATACATTGATAGGTACATGTAGTATAAATTGAATTACTTCTGTGGACCCTGTAAAAGCAATTTTGTCTACACCTAAATGATCAACGATTGCTTTTCCTGTGATTAGGCCGTCACCTGGGACAATGTTTATAACGCCCGGTGGAAAACCCGCTTCTTTGACAAGATTAGCAATGTATAGAGCAGTCAAAGGAGTCTGCTCAGCAGGCTTAAGCACTATGGTGTTACCTATTCAACAAACTTTATTTCATAAATTACAAATATAATCGCGTTAAACCTTTTCCTATTACCTCTTACCCATAGCTAAAGCTGGTCCAAACTTCCAAGATAACATTAACAATGGAACATTCCAAGGAATAATTTGACCACATACACCGACTGGCTCATGTCTGGTGTATGCAAAATAATTGCCATCGATAGGCGTCACCTTACCATGGTTTTTGTCAGCCCAGCCGGCATAGTAGCGCAATGCATTAATACTTCCAGGAACGTCATGCGATAATGAGACTTTATACGGCTTCCCGTTATCCAACGATTCCAGGCTCTATAAGTATAGAATATAAATTACACATTTACAATAACATAATAGACAAATCACATTTTGTAAGCTGATAATAGGTTATAAAATATAAAATACATACTGCCAAATAAACAATGTCGCGTTCCATTAAATCAGCTAATTTATTAAGTAAAACTCCACGTTTTGAAGCATCCATTGTGCGCCAAGGGCTACCCAACTTGAACGCTTCTTGTGCAGCTTCAACGGCATTATTAACATCAACCTAATTTGATATTTAAATTAAATAATTTGCATGTTTATTTTAGAATATTTAAACATACACTATTGCCTTTCTGCACTTGAGCGATTATTTCGCCATTAGCTGGATTGAGTGTTTTAAACGTTTTACCAGATGTCGCCTTCACAAATTCATTATTAATAAACAACTGTAAAAAACAAAAAATTAAAAAATTAATAATCCTTAAACACAAAATATGAGTTATATTTAATTTTTATTTAAATAATGATAAATTTTAAAAGCAATTAGCATAAACCAGTCTACCTATTATTAAGTTATAACTCAAATATTGGATAATTAAAATAAAACTACTAGAACATATAACAAAATAAAAGTATTGTAAAATTACTCTTAACAGCCCTATAAGGGCTTAACAGGTTTATAAGTTAGTTAACAACAAGAACACGTCTTGTATTTTTTAAGACTTCAAATTTTATGTGTACATTTTCTAAATTTAATTTAGTGATCATTAACTTAAATAACTAAATAATACATTTTACTGTTTTAATACAACTGCATTAAACACTAGTATGTTTTCTCTAATAATTGGGTACTTAACCTACAGTGATATAAGTTATAACAACACATAGTATTATAATATAATATATATAAAATTATTGAACTCTACCTCAGTGTATTTTATATCCGGATTGGGTATTGCAGCTTTTGGTGCATTACTCAGAAAACATCTTTGTAAAGCTGCGGGCAAATTGCTGGTTTTTTTCATTAAATGATACATAGTGTATTAATTATGGTTCCAATTCACAATATTAAAAATATAAAAAATAAGATTCTAAATTTAAAAAAAAAACCTGCCTATCTCAGAGAACGAAAACTTTCCAAGTGACTGGCATAAATAGCTATTTTACTTATTATATTTGGCCACTGTCGTAATAAAAACTAATCAAAATAATATTCGTTGTTATTTTTTCACATGCGTGATAATACCCCTATATATTAATCAGTAGTGACTATTATTTTTTATAGTCACTAGTGAGTAGACTCGTTTTTACGTTAAGTATGGCATTTAAATAACATATTGCGGCCAGCTCCAAGTCGCCGGCTTTCATATAGGACACTTTAAAATGTGCGTCACAAATGTTATTATTTTGTTTTATCTATTCTGTGATGTCAGATGTAGCCATGTAGGTATAAGGTGTGTGCAATGTGGTTGCTTATGCTATGATAAGCTCATGAGTCATCAGTCATGGCTCAAGAGCAATACTGAGGTGATTATTAATTATAAGAGTAAACAATAATATGGCCTTTTTATTTCCATATTAAATGCAAGTCGTAACTACCGCTTTCGAAATAATAAAATTAACAGTCGATCTAGAGTATACCAGAGATGAAATATTTTAACGTTTGTTGTGTAAGTTAATAATTGCTTTTATATAAATTCTGTTATCCACCTACAAGATGGGTATATTTGGCAAATCCACCACCGTCGATCCTAAAGATCAAGTGAGTTGTTTAATTTGCGTATTTTTCCTATGACTACATTGACAATATATTTCGTATTTAGGTTAAACAATGGACGTCGACTGTACGCAAAGAAGGATACAAGTTGGACAGACAGATAAGAGGTAGTTCATAGGTTTTTCGTTTGTTTCAATGTATTTCGACAGATCCAGCTTAAAGGTTATTCTCTTCAATGACGCTCCACAGCTGCATCGTTGTCATTATACATTAAATTGAAAGTTAATACAGGTTGTTGCAAACCTATATGTTTCTTTATCTTACCATCACTATTTTATTTGAAATTTGGATTGAAACAATATAACAAAGTTTATAAGTCTAATAAAATATAATACATACATAAATAGTATGTATGTTTTTAGAAAATCTTTACGCAGACATTTTATTTGTGCATCGTTAGGTGTTATCAATTCAATAGGATTTGCAATATGTTTATAGTTTAACTATTTCTACAATATTTTACTAACCAACATTGCAAATTCAATTTTTTTTTTAAGGTATTCAAAGAGAAGAAGAAAAGATAAAACGTTCTCTGAAGGAAGCTGCTAAAAAAGGCAACAAAGATGTATGCGTAATCCTTGCTAAAGAAGTATTAAGATCTCGTAAAACCATTAACAAAATAATTGCATCCAAAACTCATCTGAATTCTATACAAATGCAAATGGAAAACCAATTATGTTAGTTAAATATTTATTACACTTATAAATAAACCTTTTTGATGAGTACAAATCAAAATATAATGGGTTGGGTAAGTTACTTTTAAATTATAATGACTATTAACCCTCAACTGGTACAATGCGGTCTCACAGACCTGTTATTGTAAATCTAATGACGCATTTATCACTGTACCAGATACGGGTTAAGTATTAATGTGTTAAAAAAAATAACTAATATTAACCTACCAAGACTGATATTGTCTTATTTGTATAAATCATAGAAACATTACATTTTTATATATTTTTTTATTTTTATAAAAATATCAGATTTTATAAGTGTAATTAATATAATAAAAGATCGAAATCATAGAATCCAATTATATTGTATGGTAGAAAAATTTCTAGCTCTTTAAATGTTTCTCTTGTTGTATGAATAATTGTTAATTACTATTTAAATATGTTTTTTAGCTGTTTTAAGGATGGCTGGATCGATACAAAAATCAACAGAAGTAATGCAAACAATGCATAGTTTGATTAAAGTACCCGAAGTTGCAGCTACCATGAGAGAATTGTCTAAAGAAATGACGAAGGTTAGCTTTAAGCAAATTAAACATATTAGAGTAATCATTTTAATATTCATCTGTTTTAGGCTGGAATAATTGAAGAAATGTTAGACGACACTATGGAAAGTGTAATGGACGATCCCGAAGATATGGAGGAAGAAGCACAATCAGAAATTGATAAGGTAAATTGTTGTACTTTTCAACAGAAGTCCACATAAATTTCCATGCAAACTTCACATTTTACTCTCTAATTAAGCATTTACAAAAATGATTTTTTTTTCAAAATCAGTATTTAAAAAACTTAAATTGTTGACAGATATTCTTTTCGGAACAAACAAAAGTCATTTGTTAACAAAAAAAAAAAAAAAAAATTGTTTTATCAGACACCTGTTTTTCAACTAACATTAAATCATTTACATGTAAAAATGGTTAGGTATTATGGGAAATTACGGCCGGAGCATTAGGGGAGGCACCGATGGCTGTCACGGAAACACCTGGTGGATCAGTTCAACCACAGAAGACAACAATAGAATCAGTCGATGAAGATGATGATGACTTGGAAGATATGAAAAATCGCTTAGAAGCGTTAAAAAGTTAAACGTAATTTTAACAAATATACCTGGACAGTATTTCTAATAAACAAAAAAATGTCGTTGACTACTGTGAACTAACTGTAAACCAATATTATATTAAAAACGAATATTTATTTTAATAGAAAAATTAATAGCATCTACACGTTTCTTTGTTTATTATACAAAGATTTTAAATTTTTAAACGTATATTGCTTTAGACTAAAGTTTAGATTACTTTACTAATTCTTCTGGTATTAGTTATTCTACTATATTATTTGGAAAGCTTTTCTCTAGTTGGTTTCTTTTTTCTTTTAAATTTAGGGGGGGAAATTAACGAGTGAAATTATGTGTTTAAATAGCTAAAATACTAAGTATGCAATCTATTGTTAAGTTTTTCAAATATTTATATTTTAAATATCTCTACTAATAAAACGCGTTTTAATTAAAATTTTAAAGATGTTTGCTTGGAAATATAAATAGTTTCCCGCTAAATATATAATAGCTTATTGATATTGTAATAAGTAATTTAATAACTAAAATATGATAAAATGTATTTACTTCAAAACTAAATTTATATATCGCTTTTTACCACTGTCTTTAATCTAGTTGTAAAAATATTGTTTTTATTATTTATTTATTTTGTAACACAATTATTGTTTATTATTTTTTTATCCTTTTTTTCTTCTTTAAATATTAGATACATCCATTAATTCCATTTTCATTCTTTTGTTTATTATGTTGGTATGAAATTGTATTAATTTTATAATTTTTCAACCAAGAATGGCAATGACTAGTGTAATAAATGAATCAGTTGATGTATTTATTCCACATGGTTTAACTATAATAAATACAAATATTAAGTACACATTACATAGATTTTATACAAATATACAATAAAATAATAATATTAAACAAAAAGAAAATTATTTTGCTTTCAGTGTCTCTTCTGGTGTATATCTTTCTTTTAAAGTTCTATACTTCTTAAGCATATATAAGGCTTCGATTTCTTTAACGACAAACTCGCCGCGTTTTACTAAAGTTCTTATTTGATTTGGATCAACAACATCTTTGTTATGTTGAAATGCTTTTTTCAATCTTTCCTTAAAGAAATCATAACCTTGAGGGTAGTCACGGCCCATGTGTAATAACTGAAATAAAAAATAAGAAATAATTAAAAATCTGTCTTATTTAAAAAATGTTTATATTAACAAAAAAGTAGGCTCGTTGGGTGTTTGTAACTTTCAATCATTACTGCAAATTATCTGACGATTGTTAATACAAAAAAATAAAAGTTAATCAATTGTCAATTTTTACTATTGATTGCGCAAATAAATTATTAGATCTGAAAAGTCAAATTTTGAAATTAAATTATGTATTTGAAAAATAGTGTAATCAACATTTAATTTTAATTTTCGCTCTTTGATTTTAGTAAGTCTTATATATAATATTTTCGAGTTGTAACCTGTTTATAATTATAATATGTTTATGCAATAAAATACAACAGCTATTTCTTAATTAATTTTTAAAAAAAATTGGGAAACAAAAACAATCATGGCGTATGTTTGTTATTGATAATGTATCTACCTACGCGCAACATGTGGTAATAATAAATAAAATTTAAAACAATCAATGCCGTTTGTAAATTTATGTGAATTACAATTGTTATATTATGTGATGTGGTAAACATGTTTTTAATAAACATCAAGTAAAAAATACAAATCATTAAAAACAAGTACCTATTTGTTATACATTACAAAAATATATTCTTGTTAGTTAATAATTTTTAACATATACTATAGGCATTCAGACATTGTGATTTGTGTGAATGATTTACTTAATATTAATTATTTAACGGTCAATAAATATACGTAGGAATAAAAAACATACTATTAACTACTGTTAAGACAAAAATTTCATTTTATTTAACATTAGGATTCGTGGATAACATAGCAGACAGAAAACTTTAATTTGATTTGTTCCCTTAAACTTACAGTCTTGTACAGATTAATCACATCCTTTCGACACGGGTTCATTATTATAATATATTATTGTGTTTGAATACGCTTATAACAAGTAGGTGTATTACGTATAAATTTTTAAGAAAAAAACACTGTTTATATTAAATTCTGCCAAGTATATAAATTTAAAAAAAACTAGCTACTATTGTACCGTCTACACACAAGTCGTTCACAACAGCAAGACTGATTAACTACTTATTGTGAGTATTGCAGTTTGCACTGCATAGTGTATACTATAACAACTAACCATTGAGTTGACCTAGAAAACCGTAAACAGTAAACTCTATAAATCGAGGTCGACGGTAATGTATGCAGTGTGCACGCATGACAAAAAGTAAACTATCCGTCAATGCATGATCTACACCTAAAGCAATATAATTATTGTATCGGTTAATGATTTTTGAATAAATAAAAACAAATCATAAAATTAGCATAAAAAAATGTGTCAGTATACAGAATTAAAATTTGTCTCGGTGGGCCATCTATAATATTTATAATCAATGCTAATTAATACCTATAATATATAGATCCTATTGATATTTTTTTTGTTTTTTTCTACCAAAAAGAGTATTGACAATAAATTGTTGCCTTGGATAGACAGGCATTTATTGCTATGTAAATTTTACCTGAAAATTCAATTTTTATGTTCTGGTGTTGATATTTTGTGTAGTGATAGTATTTACAATTATTATTAATTTATAAACAACATGTTAATTTTAGTTAGGTTTAATATGACGCCTTTAATAAGTATAATACAGACCTATATAAGTCCTGAAATCTGATGACATTTTTGACATAACAATTTGGGATTCCATATAAATGAGCCCTATTTACTTATTATCTCAACATCTGAAAAAAACCTTATACTATTTTTACAGTATATAATAAATTGATGCATGTTTGAAAATAGGGTCCGGTGAGTGGTGATATGAGAGAAGGGAAGACGGCTCATGTCTATGCAGGGGCGACATTTCAGTTTTTCTTAGGGTGGGGCAACATTTTTATCGGCCCACTGTTCATTTACAAATATAAATATTTTTTCCAAAACACTTAGATACAAAACAGTAATAATACAAATATTATAAACCTTCATACCTATTATACTTGGTAGTCAGTTCAGACGGTTTATTATAGGGTAAGTAAATGTAGGTAGTTACATAAAAAACAGATAATTTACGGCCTTATGTATCGAAAATTTGGCCAGCCCGTACAAATTAAGTGTGGGGCAAATGCCCCCGCCTGCCCCCCCCCCCCCAAATGACGCCACTGTGTCTATGCGTTAAGAAGTTGGAAAGTACGTCAAGATCTTTCAGTAGGCATCTCTAATCATATCGTGGCCTTAATAAAACTATCCGTCCCTCTAAACTATACTTCTTAAATTGCATTAAAACAAATGTAAAACCACATTTCTAAATCCTAATAATTAAAGAAATAATATACATATGATTTAAGATTAAAAACAAAGTTTATTTTTGTTCACTAATTAAGACGTTGTGTCGACTGCAGTCTGCACCAGTGTAATGTCAAAAAAAGTAACAATGACATATCATATTATTTAAAAATATTTCCAAACCATTTTCATTAATATTTAATTAATTAAGTTTTACATCTTTCATTTGATCAAAATTATTTTTATAATAAATTATTGTTTGAATAAAACGCATGTGCATACTGGGCGAGCTACAATATACAGTATACACCCTTCTATCAACCACAATTACTCTGTCAATTAATTCAATCTATGCTAAATTAATATTAATAATGTAAAGCAAATTTTGTGTTCAAAGAGATCCTTTATTATTTATAATATAATATAATATAGGATCTCCTTGAACACAAAATTTGCAAACCTTTGCTGACTCTATGTGAGTTTTTAACTGCTAAACAATTCGTTTCTATGTTAACGTCTGCTTGTTGTTTGAATAACAAGACGTAGCAATTGTATACTGAAAGTAAATTAAAAGTAAATTCTTAGATTTTAATATTTTCAGCGAACAATATGCATTGTGTCGAAGCGTTCTGCAGTTGTATTTTACGTTAAAACAATTACTTTTTCGAACGACTTAAACATTACTGTCATGTTCTACCATAAGTTTGGACGTAACTTCAAGCTATTTCAAAAAAAAATCCGAAGGCGACCAAAAACTCAAAAGGGGTTACGCCTGGAGACTTGATGGTAGGTATTTGGAACACATACAGTTATTATATTATGTAACATAATACAGCAATATGTTCTTCTCTCATCATTGTTATTTATAATAACTGTTTAAAAAAAAAAGAAAACTTTTATAAGAACACTTGGAATTTTAAAAGTTGGTGAATTAATTTAAGCATTTGAGAGTCTAACAGGGCGATTTCACATTTGGGCTTCAGAGTAGGTAATGCAAAAACCCAGCATGCTGTGTAGAAATCTCTTAATATATAATAATTTAGATCCCAAATCTAAAGTCCAAATCCAATTATTACTAAATACTATTTACTAATATTATGTTAAATTTTTTTTTTTAGATTCAAGTGCAATTATTTACACGTGGCAGTCGATCATACGTTTACTAATAAGTATAAATAATACGAAGTAACCCGTAAGCAAAACATGTAGTAATTTATTTTAAATATTAATAATAATTCAATTGTATACAGCTGTAAGGGTCCGGAATTAACTACAGACGAAATAAATATACTTAAGTTTCTCTGCTCAGTAAAATTCTTACATATTAAATTCAAAATAAAATAATTGAAAAAACTTTTTTTTTATATGACTGGTTTGTTAATTCTAGACCTTTTTCTAGTGCTTGATTTAGTATAAGTAATGTATTCCTCAGACGAATTTATAAAAAGAGAGTGTAATTATTGGAAATATTTTTTTCAACTAAATCAATACCTACATTTCTGAATAATATATTCTGGTCTCACTTGGAAGTAAAATTAGATACCTAGTAGGTACCTACGCTAAAATATCTAAACAATTGAGTTACCTCCCCTCCCCTCTACTAAGTCAAGTACTGTGTGGATTAGGTCTATGTACGATGATGCCATTTCACTCTCAATTCTCCCTTTATAAATTATTTTGGACAACCGCACAATTATAATTTATTTTTTTAAGTAAATTTACACATTTTAGCACTATTGTCATTTCAGATAATTGAACTAAACTACTTTAACAATTTTTTCGTTGGTAACTTTTCACTTTCGCGTTGTGGTCGTTCTCGTTATAGTTCATAAACCTCTCACATTTTCTGCTCAGTAAAAATTAATTACCTACTTTAAAATTTGCGTCCAGTTAATCAAGTCACAACATTTTGTACACCAACAAGATTTTTTTGTAAATCAAATTACCAATATCTGTCCCGTGATCCTACTGGATAACCTCCTTCGTACTCTCTTATATGCAAAGTCTGTCGATACCGGGATATTTTAGTCATTAAGTTAGTCATTAAGTTAGTCTTAAGTTATGCCCGGATCGGCTTTGATGCGTAAGTCCACCATTGTCTGTGGTGTGGCCGCCTAGTCTGTCGATACCGGGTTATTTTAGTCATTAAGTTAGTCATTAAGTTAGTCTTAAGTTATGCCCGGATCGGCTTTGATGCGTAAGTCCACCATTGTCTGTGGTGTGGCCGCCTAGTCTGTCGATACCGGGTTATTTTAGTCATTAAGTTAGTCATTAAGTTAGTCTTAAGTTATGCCCGGATCGGCTTTGATGCGTAAGTCCACCATTGTCTGTTGTGTGGCCGCTCAGTCTGTCGATACCGGGATATTTTAGTCATTAAGTTAGTCTTAAGTTATGCCCGGATCGGCTTCGATGCGTAAGTCCACCATTGTCTGTTGTGTGGCCGCGCAGTCTGTCGATACCGGGATATTTTAGTCATTAAGTTAGTCATAAGTTAGTCTTAAGTTATGCCCGGATCGACATCTATGCGTAAGTCCACAATTGCTTGAAACGCCCCTACCACACATTTCTGGTGGTTGTACAGTAAATACAATTTGAGCATCATCGTAGACGGAGATACCACATTAAAAAAAACGAGCCAAATACTCTACCTCATAGGTGGTTTGGAAACGAGTATACAATCCCTATGACGAAGCAAAACATGTAGTAATTTATTTTAAATATTAATAATAATTTAATTGTATACAGCTGTAAGGGTCCGGAATTAACTACAGACGAAATAAATATACTTAAGTTTCTCTGCTCAGTAAAATTCTTACATATTAAATTCAAAATAAAATAATTGAAAAAACTTTTTTTTTATATGACTGGTTCGTTAATTCTAGACATTTTTCTAGTGCTTGATTTGCTATAAGTAATGTATTTCTCCTTATTGACGTCTTCCAATAAGGTACACCAATGAAATTCGAAAAAAACTAAAATTCATTGGCGTGTCCATAAGCCTAAGCAGGCGATAACGATAATATCACGTATTTATTATTATTTAATTATATTTTAGGCTTTAAAGTTAAAAGAAAACTTACATCAAAATATTTTTTCTTTTTTTTACATCATTTTCAGGAATACTTAAAAAAAAATTGAACAAAAGACATAAAGGAAAGGTAATACAAATATTTTTCGATGAAATTTCGGGGGGGGGGGGTGAACCCGGAAACCCCCCTGAATACGGCCATGGGGCACCCATCTTCTTTGATAATATTAACATCCATCCAAGAACATCGACGTATGTGCGGCAATGACACACTTGGCCGAATAGTTAGTTACAAATAATATGTATTGTATCATAGAGTCAAATTATCAAAATAGATTGCATCATATAAAGTATTTATACTTTTTAGTATTATGTGTCTCGAAATACTACGTCAACAAATTGTTATTACTTATATTTTAGTAACAGTTTCTCTGTTGAGTGTTACAATATTATAACTGAAAATTATATTTGTTTAGATATTGGCTTTATAGTTTATTTCCTATACTGACACCTGACTTACGTCGGATTATGTAAAACCTGACGATTTTTACTGAGATATTTTTTTAACGCATATTTGAATGTATACATATTATACTTCTGTAGTTTATAATGTTTAATAATCATTAAAAATGTACGCCTCTTTTAAGAGAATAACCACATAATAAATATTGCCTATATGTTGCCCCTTAATAAAATACAGCATTGCGCGACGCATTTATGAAGTCGTCGTTCCGACATAATATTAATATAATGACATAAACAAGTTATCAATAATTAAAATAATCGACAACTTATAGCTTTCGCACTGGACAAGGATGCGAACGCGGTTTTACCGGAGGGACCAGACGGAGCGCGTTCCATTGGCTTAGGCCGCCGCGGAAACCTATATTTTGTGTCCTGTGTCAAATTATGGATTACGTTTTGGTATTGTTTTATGGCACTGTTACTCAATATAAATTACTATACAGCGTCTTCGGGATGTCCGCGTAGAAACGCACTATGCGTCTGGGACGGACAACGACGGTGGCGAGAGCAGCGTGACGGCGGCCATTGTTCGGAGTCAAAAACGGAAATAAGCTTCTGCGACCCATCGTCCTCGTCGGCGGCAACAGTAGCAGCACCGAAACTGGGAGGCAATAAATGAGTTGCCGCGTGCCTCCACTCGTGCCCTCTCTCCTCCATCGTTACCGTAGTACTACTCTGGACCGCACACTTAAACGTTCGGACTTACGCGCACGCGGATCACAATGTGACATCTGTGTGTGTGTGTGTGTGTATAAAACTACACGATATAATAATATAAAAGCACGTAAAATATATATGTATACTGTACGTTATAGTATAGAGTAAACGTAATAGAGTGAAAGACCGTAGTGAGAATAGCGCATGTTCGGCGGCTACGGGCAGGTATACACACGCGAGGAAAGTGCCCGGACAGAGGGGTAAAAGAGGAGGAAGCGGAGAAGAGGCGGAGGAGGCGGTGTACGTGGTGGCGTGGACGGGACACCCGACTGAGAGTCTGCCGGAACGCTTCAGTTCGTGTGACGGCCTCGCGACGAAACGCGGACGACGTTAACGCCGCCGCCGCCGCCGTGGAGTAGTGCGACCAGCGCTGGACCGAAACGCCGCACAAAATTGAAGTGAGTCCAATTTTATCTGCACCGAAGAATAAATTCGCCAAAAATATATTTTTTTTTTTATTCGAATCCCATCTTTGAGACGTTGAAATATTATACTTTGTTCCACAAACAACACTAGTTTTTTAGCATAAGCGCGGGCGATAACGGCCATTGATCAGGCCAACAGGTGATACATTATTATTGCAATGTTGTACATTCGTCTGGGGTCTCGCGCTACGCGTCAACGGGGTGGGGGCGGGGAGAACTTTGAGAAACGCTGATTGCCCCTCGACGACCAATTCGATTGTATTATTACATTTAATACAATCCTATAATAATACCGAAGGTAATAAAAAAAATATAATAGGCAACCACCATTAATATAATAATATGTGACAACTACAAGTAATAACTAATAATTATGTTCATCGGCCCGACACTAATGAACCTATAATCAATTCGAGTTTCAGAGCGAGACGTTGCTTATGATGTTGAATTGTTCAATTATATAATGTCATATTTTTGGTCATAAGATACAATTATTCACATAAAATATCCAAGTATGGTCACGGGTTCGACGTAAGAAAATAAATAAATAAGTTCATAATGAATATAATATGTAGATGTAACCGAAAAACCTGTAACTAATTTTAAAAAAACACACTCGCTGTACAACCTTTAACCGTTTCATAAATAATAAGTTCTTTCGAAGATACAATTTACATATTACAAATGCAAGTGTCGTTTATTTGTGCAGTTTATTTTCCTATGGCTATATTGTACTACATACTAAATAGTAAAACACTACGCTTTTATACTATGTATTATTATGACTCAGCTACATAGGTTATTAGTTACTTAATAATGATGTTACATTTGACTTACTGAATCCAAGGATAACATTGACAAATGACAAAGTAAACAGAGATAAATTTGTATTATCAACACTTGCAAGTTAACTACATGATTTAGAAACAAAATGAGTTATAAGCTTGTTAATAAATAACTTCCATTAAAAATGACTTGATTTGTATTAATGAGTACGTATTACGTAGTAGTTATATTTTAGCAAAGTATTTAAATGTATTCAGTAATAGTTTAACAAACTGTTAATAACAAGGTCTTGCTAGAAAGAAAGATTTCAAACTATCAATGATGTGCTAGAGTTAGTGAGAAACCAATATACATTTATTATTCATATTTTTGGGTACGTTATAAGGAAAGATTAGATAAGGTGTGTAAACAAGGTGGTAATAAAAATGAGTGTAGAAAGAATGAAGAAAACAAGGAAGTGAAAATTGAGACTGCTGGACGTAATTAAGAGTTGCACGAGATAGCCAATGTGTGTGTGAAAGTTACTACAAATCGTGTTGAATGGCGGTTGAGGACTATAGTGGTCAGCCCAAAATAGTTAAATAAAGTGTCAAAGTAGAAGAAGGTATACTTTAATTATTTTGTGGTTATTGCAAATTGATTAAAAATAAAACTAACATTAATTTAAAAATTCATAATAACATTTTTTTAAAAAATTGTAATTGTTTTGTTACTGACAAAAATAACAAGTGAATATTTTATAGTTATGTTACTGAATCTATAAACGACCAATTAGTAAAAAGTAACGTCAACATAGATTATAAATGTGAGTACATAATAATTAAAATTTTAATTTATGATGAACGTTCAATGATGGGAATTATTTTAAGGGCGAGGATGGTAGTTATGGAACATAAAGATATATATAAAAAAAAAAAACAATGTATCTGCTTCCGGTTTGAAAACATGCCGCCGCACTTAATTAAAAAAAAGACAGATAGGTGTGCATTTTATGTGCCCGCTAAGTATCCTGTTACTGTGGTTTAACGCGTTTCTCAGATTATTCACAATTTCTTATCAAGAGAATATTTAGAGAGAAAGTAATTAGTATTTTATTATTTATTTTTTTGAAAAAATGAAGATCATATGAGTTTTATAAAAAAATGTTATTTTTAAATTGAAGAGTTAGGTTTTTAATTTTTTTTTTTTTGAGGAACAAAGAAGAGAGAAGACTGGAGTTTCATAAAAATCCTAAACATCCCACAGGTTTATTTTGCCTCTTTGACGGCGCATTAAATAATTTTTGAGAAAATTCCGCTTTTATTTTGTTATATTTTTAATTTTACAACTACATATAATCCTCTACCGCATTAGATATTAGTCTTAATAAAATATTATTTCCTCGTTCAAAGTAAATGTTAATATTGTGGACGGATATTATAAATGGAACAAAGCCCGAAGAAAAACGAGTAGGTATTTATAACTGTAATCCGTAGAACAATGCGGAAAGCTCCTCTGCGTGGAATATCGGCTCTCCAAAATAAAAATAAATTTGCTTTACGAAGAAAATGGTTTGCGACTATCTACTTTAAAAACTTAAATCGCTTTTTGTGTGTGTTCAGCGGCCGTGAACCAATCGTCGGCCAATTCGACACTATTATCTTTAATCAAATTTTATTTTTATTATTATCGTTATGGTTATTATTCAGTGTGTACATAAATAAAACCAGTGCATTACGGGTCGAACTCACCCCATATTCGATAGTTACAGACTGACACAGCAACCAGAAAAGGGTAGACGGCTTGACGCCCCAAGCATGTATAGTAGCTACCACCCTCCATTCAGTCGGCTGTTTATTATTATGTTCACCGAGCTTACGGGATCACAAAAAACAAAAACTTTTAATGGAACAGCTTAAAATCGTATTAAGAATAAACGTACGTTGTCAATCACACACTGTTGTTACTCGTCGCAGGTCCGACACACGCTCTAAAAAAAAATTATGCGCCTGTATTTTTTTTTAATTTTTTTTTTATAGTGCGTTAATTATTTAGAAAGTCGGTAGTTAGGTTGCGTTTATTTTTTTCTGATTTTAAATTCATGAAAAATTATGGTTTGGTGTACACGTTTTGATTTATTTCTATTTGAAAATATCATATTTCTGGTCTAAAATCGTGTAATAGGATACGCACACAAATATAAGTAATACAAAATCAGAAATGAAAAGAATTATCAAACTCATTTTTTTAGAAATCGGTACAAACATACAGACTGGAAACGTGATAAAAAGTAGAAAATAAATAATTATGCAACAATCACTAATCCTTTAAAATATTAAACATACCAACTAGTTATGAGCTAACCAAAGCATTGAGAGCAGCTCTGTATTTTTTTTATTTTTGAAATTTAAGCAAACATTTTTTAATGGACTGGATGGTGTAGTAATTCCCGGTATGAACTTAACTGGCACTCCAACTCTGCATATTTTCAACTAGAGCCCTTACACATAATAATATATTTTTACCAGAACCAACTGATTTTTCGATAAATATCTACTATTGCAAAGGATGAACTCGGTTCGATGTAATCGGTTGAATTATACATTATAACACAGTATGTGTATTTTATATAGGGTATATATTTATTTAGGATATACGGTTAAACGGTTTTTTTTTCTTTAATTCGAGTAAGGCTTTCAAGGTGTATAGGTATTATCGATAGAATTCACTCGACCGGAAATAACTTTGCACCTTATATAAGCTCTCTTTATCTGGCATGCTAAATCAAAGCTCATTGATTTTATATATATATATAGAGAGAGAGTTTACTGTATATTATCGGATACTGGCCGCGGTCTTAAATCGAAGGCGGAAAACGGAGACTCTGGGTCATTCCGTGCCCCCTCTGTCGCCGCCGGTCTCCCCTTCCCGGCATCAAAAGAAAGTAAATCTCTGCCACACCGATTTCATGAGCGGCCGAGGGTATTGTCGAATTGCACAAGCGAAATCGGTCGGCGGGGCGTAAAAATCGATTTGGCAAAATACGTTTTTTCTCCCCCCCCCCATTCGCCGCCTCCTCATCCTAAGCCCATATAGTGTTACCCCTTTTATTCGACGGCACACGGGGCTGAACGTTGATATGTCCCAAAGCGATGATAGCAATACATACCCAACAGGAATTGTATATTTATTTATGTGTATACATGTACATACAATACAGTATTATATATTATTACACGGTGCGGCGATGTCGTGCGTACCGGAAGGGCAGGTAAGGGGTGGAAAGTGTTTTTAGTCTATATATATATATTAATATATGTATATACCTATCGGTGTACTGGTGTACACACAAACAGAGGAGGAACACCGCACCTCCGTCACCGTCAAAATTCGTCGTCAGGGAGATTTGCACGCAGACACTGGTACCGAGACTAAATAATGAAGATGAAACCGGAGCAGTGCTGATATATATATATACATATATACTAGTCAACCCTCGCCACCCTCTACCGAATATTTGCCCCATTAGCAGATTGATTCGAGCGTTTTACCGTCGTCAACGCGTACAGTACAACATTATCCCGTCTCTCAAAGTTTCCCCTTCACTTTGTTCTCCGTACCGTCCGTAATATCTGACGACGTTCACTTTACGTTTAAAAAATACCCGTCGCAACGCTTAAGGCCCAAAACAAAACTTTAACGTACCCTCACCTATAATTATTATCCTCGCTTTCTCGTGTTTTTTTTTGGGGGGGGGGGGGGTTGGGTGGGACGCGTCATGCTTTTTAGTAGGATGTCGCTGGGCGTGCATTTGTTGCTGTGCTATTTTTGGTATAAAGTGAAACTGAATTTAAAAAACACACCACGGAGAAATAGCCCGGTTGTGAGCAAATTGAAAAACGGCCCATTTGAATTTGCGCATAACTTGTTTTGTACCTAATCACTGTAATACGATAGTCCAATGACATTTACTCGAGCCTTCGAGTTTTGTGATACATGCATAATACATCTAGTGGCGTGTGTTAGGTAAAAGTCGTTACGCGAATGTATCTCTTGTTTGGTTGTCGCCAAAGGATTAATGTCAATTATAACGGTGCTGGCCCGCTAGCGGTGTCTCATCCACTTAAAGGAAACGTCCAAATAGCGTTCAAATATAATACCGGCTGTAATCGAATTTTGGAAAGAATTTTGCTTGGAGATTTTTCCGGCGTTCCTGCGCTTATCTCTTTATAGAGCAATAACAGTAATGACATAACGGTTGTATTTGTGTTTTATTAGATTTAACAAGTTATAGTATTATGGTAGTAATTTGTAAAACGTTAGAACATAAGTTTCATTCAAAGCCTGGTAAAGTACCGGGCTTGTAAAATACTAAGAAACTATATTTTTTTAATTGTTTTCATTGCAATTAAACCTTGAAAATTTTATCAAATTACAGTGATAGTTCTTAATTTGCAACAAAAATAAATAATAGTTAATCTAATGCTTCAACATTTATAAAACTGTATTACAAAACTTAAAGCTTCGATAAAAATATATTTAAAAAAAAAGACTTTTTTAAAACCATAACTATTAAGTTCTAACTCAAGACTGACCATTTTTTTAGGTTTTATTTAAAATAACAAACAGTATTATAAATTATTTCAAACAATTAAAATCTAGGTACCCATTAGACCATTTATTTTCTTGATTTTAGTACTATGAACTGTTAATGAATTGAAAACACTTACTCAAGTATTTGAAATACAACTGATATTTCTCGTTAAACGTCAATAAAGTTGTTACCCACATATAAAACACATCTAAGTCGTCGAGACTCGAGTTTGAACAAGGTTCGACTGTCTTGTAATTAGTTTTTGTAATTATAGTGACGCAAAACAACCTCACAAATTGATTTCATTTTATTATTAAGCTTAAATAAATTAACGTTTGCTTTGTTTTTCAATAGTAATTTGGCAATAACAATATTAATTGAAAATTTAAATGAGTTTTGTAATTTTCCTGTACCTACTAATTTAAACATAGTATAACAATACATAATATAAAACAATATATGGAAACGTATTACATCACTATACATGGTTAAGGTCCGTTGATTATTATTTAAACATGTAATATTTTATAAATATTATAGCATGACGAAAACTAATTAGAAAGTTTGCTCAATTTTGACTTTTGGTGTAACAAATGCGTAGTTTTTTTTATCGTTATTTGTTAATAATAATATTAATAAAATACCTACTTATGATAAGTCTTTAGGGTAACGAATTAGGGTGATTGAGTAACGAATAACTGTTATGAAGAACTTGGCAAATTCCCAATCTATATTATCATTTAATGGTTTGGTTTGAATTGGTAATGTCTTTGTTTCACCACTAATTATTGGTAATTAGTAAATGTACCCATGCGCTATTTGTAGCGGGTACAAAACCAAGTCTAATAAAAAATAAATAGTTTTTAATAACTTAGTATTTATACATACAAATACACTTAATTATTCTTCATTTCATATATTATAGTCAATCTTCAAGAGGCAAATATTGAGATTATTGCATGACCGATATGCCATTGGAGTCTTTGTCTTTGTGCATAGGTCCAATAAACTAGTAGTACGAGTACGTTGGATTTGAATGAACAAACTATTTTCAAAAATGAAATATAGTAATCCACAGGTCCCTGGTGAACCAATACACATACACCACATACACAAATGCCGCACTGTGTGAAATTTTAGTATTCTATTGATTTTATGGACACTGGATGTGTGAGCGTTGGCAAGTGTGGATATTTTTGTCGGTGTCTGTGTTCGAAATTTTTTTACCTCCGACCGACTTAGCGTGCCAAAAACAGACGGATATCCGGTTTACGCGGCTGCGATGTGTCAAAACCGAATATATTATACCTTATAATAATTGTATTATTTTCATTGGTTTCAGAGAGGTTCCCTGGCCGGTTAGTTTTCCCTACATGCGTGTGCTGCAACACTTCCGTTCCTATCACCGCCGACGACGGAACTGCAACGGCAGTCCGGATGACTATGACACGGTCGTTTGCCGCCAACAATAATATCGTCGCGGTCGTCCTGTGCTTAGCCGTATCCACCGTACATACAGGTAAGTCCCACACACATGGCATTTTTTGGAAACTCTGCGCCAACAACTCCTAACCTTTTCTATTAGAAACATATCTGAAACAGCATGTAGTTCCGATGAGCTTATAACGGTACATCGACCCGATAGTATCTTTAGTTAAATGCCCGCCGAATTCGCCCATGTAAATGTATTTTGAGTGTGTATGTGCACTGTTAGTGTATCGTTTTTCAAGACAAAGCCAATTGTTTTATTTAACTAGTAATTTTTACCGGAAGTCAAATGTATACATACATATACTTATAGCTCTTATAAAGCGACTTGTGGGTTGATACAATAGTGTTGTTGGCGAATAAGCCAACCGCGGGAACGTGCCTTAATTCAACTGGTAAGTCTTACCGATATCATAGAGTAGGTATATTCAATTTTATTATATGCGAAAAAACCTTTTCATGCTAACGGCGAATGGTCGACTTCATACTTTATAGATACAAATATATCGGTGTAAATTAGTAAAATATGTATAGAAGTTTATTACTCATGGCATGTACTAGCATACTTAGAATTAATCGCCACCCGAAAGTTTATCAGAGACTCGATGCTTGTAAAGTTGTCAGTCAGAAATTTAAGACGGAACGGCATTCCGTATTGAGTGCTTGTTAATCTAGTTATTTTTCCTATTCAAGTCTTTAGCAGACGACGGAACAATAATTGACTTTGAAAACAATAGGGTGTACTACACGACCGAGGCTTTCGGTTGAGTGTTTATATTTACATTATTCGCAGTACACACCCAATATTGTCGTGCCTATTGTCTTTTTGCAAAAGCGTCTGCCAAAACTTTTATCGACTTGTCCGTCAGCTGCATAATATTTATACTTTCCACTTACATTTTTTCATTGCTTTTCTGTGTATGTATACGATAAAAGACCGTATTATACGATTATATTATATTATATTTACACGGTTGAATAAGTGGTTATTTTGCAGAAAAGAATAAAATGTATAGTACTTAAACGCCTCACTCTTATTAACTTGTTATTTATCTACTAACCGTTTATAATAAAAAAATAAAAACAATACATAACGTAAAGTTTTTAAAAATCATTTTCGAGTAAAAATAAACTGTAAACTATTCCCATTTGATTAATTTAATGGTTATAATTTGCTACCGCAGTAATCGGCTTTTAATAATTTTTAAACTGTATTAAAGTATTAAAAAAAAAAAGTTTTTAATAGACGCTTGCTGGCTTTGTTCATTAGATTAAACCTGTAACGAATATACAGTTTGTCTGAAAATTAAAGGGACAATTTTTTTTTGTCAAATAGCTATAATTATAATAGCATTATAATTGTTGTTAGTAGCGTCAATTTCATCAACTTTTGTTCATTAAGTGGTCAGTGACAGCATTTAAAAAGCTGTTAAACTTTTTCGCCAAGACATTACTTTTTTTGCTGTAGAGCAAATAGCATCGATACGGGATACTTTTAAAGTGCTTAAAAAAGCTTATAACGAGTAGTCTTAACGAGAAGAAAGAGTTTTGAACGACATAAGCAATATCTAAGTTGACCAATCTTTAAAAAAATTCCCTGACGATCATTCAGTAGAGGTAATTTTAAGTATATTTTTATCGTAAATGTTTCAGAGAATTAATGCAGTTTTAAATCAATTTATTTTCATTACACGGCTCGCCCGTTTATACAGCGATTTAATACTACAGTAGATTTTTAATTGACTTTGTACAGCCTAAAAGGTTTATGGTATGATCAATATAAAACATGTCATTTAGAAACATTGCAAATCAACTATAACGTAGGTATTATACGCTTATAATTCGTTATCTAAATTAATAAAATGCAAACTACAGTCCTCAATTACGCATGTGTAATTCCAAACAATATTATTTGAAAGCATGTTGACAATAATACACCCAAAGTGTCAGTAGACGATAAGTAAATACGCAATGTTCAATATATTTATTATTTTTTAGCATAAAAATATTGTTAGTTTTTTCATTTCATAGAAATGCAATTTTATTATTAGTTTTTATGTATGTACCAATGCTATAATATTCAGTGTCATAATAAAATGTATTTTACATTTAGCATAACTCGTTTGTCATGGTCTCCACATTACCTCTATTATTTTGTACTCTATCCTACGGCGGTCGGTGTTTCTTAAATTATTATAAACGTTAAAAGTTATAACATATATCACCGGGTTAAATATAATTTATTTCTGGTTTGTTGTTACCCATAAAACGAACAGAGCACACACTTTTGTAGATTGAGATAAAAAAAACTTACTATCATTCAATTTCGTCTGGTCGGTTATTGCGCCTCGTATATATAATATATTGTGAACATAACTCTTCACTTAAGTCTACATGTTCACTATCTCTGTATAATACAACACTGTTAAGTTTAACAACTATAATAGATTGTGGCTTTATTAATGGCAAAATTATTTTTTTTAATACATCGCTACTAGATGAATACAACCAACGATTAAAAATCAAAAATTGTAAACTCGGTTGTTGCCAATTTTTTTTTTAAATCATAAAATACTCCTTATAAAACGGGTTTTTTGAAATATTATTTTGTAAGTAGGTATTTGTGAAAACCGTTACTCTTCATTATGTTAAAAAAGTGACTTCTGTAATATTATTATTTTGAATTATTTTTGAGTAACTCATACCGCTATTAAATGTTAAAAGTTCACAGTTAAATATTAAAATTATAAAATAACAAAACAGCAGTAATTAAATACAGTTAATGCTGTATTTTGTGCAAAACGTCTGCATTATAATTTACATTGTTCACAACAATATACAACGAGTGATGTAATATATTGAAGTAAAAAAAAAAAGTTCATTTATATTTGTTACACGCAATTACTCTATGTTACATGAACTGAAAATTACTTTTCAAAAGTTTCTTACTTTCTGAAAAATAAAATTTTCTTGATGATTCGACGCGCAACACTGCGTTTATGTGCAACGTGTCATGAGCAAAATTATGCTTGGGTAATATTTGATTTCATCATAACTTTTTGTGTTTAGATTCTATAGTAACATCATGTGAACTTCATGTTATTGTAATCAATCTACTCACTACACAAATTATGAGGTGCATTTAACTAAAAAAAATTCTGTTTATCGCCGGATATAAAATAATATTATTATTATGTTGAACTTTTTATTAACAGCTAAATCGATCTGCGCAATATTGTTACGCAATAAAAATTAAATAACTCTTACATAATTTCCAATGAATTTTAAACTTTACAAGTACTTCATATTTTTTTATATACCATAGAAGATTAGGATAATTATTTATATTTTTGTTGAATCATCATATGAAACTCAATAAATAAACAAAAATAAACACTCTATATTCAAGTCCTATAATATGTACTAGCAATTTGATAATAAAAGTAACTCAACAACTAGGTTTCTTGAATTAATATATTAACGCTTGTAAGCCGATGGTGCTGTCGTAGATTTTTTATAGAAATATTTCAATTATTATTAATTCGTAATAAAATATAAAGCTCTTTTATTAGATTTTTAAAAAAAATCAATAACTAATACAACAGTTTGGCTGAGTGGGATGTTAAATGCAAATAATAATTAACATTTCAATTTAAATATATTTCGAAAAATAATTAATATTTTAAGTATTTACCAAATACTCGTGAAGCAAGCTTTTGGTTATATCAAAAGAGTAAAAACATATTTTATTATCATAGCCCGGCCAATCTCTCAGTAGCTTTACAAAATAATCAAACGCTTCTCATCATCGGCGGCGTACACTAGGAGTGAGTGTACCGAGCTGCGATTTTAATTGAAGTCACGGTGTATATTATTATAATATTATTATGTCAATCGAAAGTACTGTCGATTTTCGCCTGGCGAATTATTTCTTTCATATTATTATCCATAACGCTCTTTCGCTCGTTTTCCTAATTCACTGGCGATAGTTTAATAATACAAAATGTCTACTAAACGTTTAGAGCGGAATCTGGTCACCATCCAAATAGCTATAGCCGTATTGCGCACAATACGTTACATGCACCGTCTGATAGGTATTTATCAGTTCGACAAAACAGCTGTATCTATATACATTTGCCGCCTGGATGAGATAATTATTAGTAGTGTCAGTGCGACACGCGTAATCGAGCGTGGAATCGAAAACATTATTAATTATTTTACCGGCCTATAGGCGAAGAAAAAAAACATATTATATGGAATAAAATATAAAACCTCGGCGTCAGCAAGTTTGAAATCCGCAGTGAAACGGATTCGCCGGTCGAGTGCTCGGCACATGCAGTGTATATAATAATATAAAGTATATTATATGTACAGGGGAGTGATTATCGGCGGCCAGGGGGGCGGAGTCATTGTGCTCGGGGGTTGCATATCTGGGAACGGCGCAGGGGCGGTACCGTTTTATGATCGATATCGTGACCACATTTTTGGGCGAAAAGACGCGCCCTGCCGAGTGTAACTAGTGGTAACCAACCGATTTTTGTTCGCCAAGTCGGACCTGAAGACACGCAAGCCACCGGTTGTAGGCTAATCGTCGCTGCGATCGTTTGCGCATACGTAGGCCTAAGTACCACAAAGCAGAACAAATTTCACTTAGAAAGCGTCTGACTGAGTCAGTCTGTTGTTTTTAATATTCGTATCTTTATTATATAGATTTTAATGACTTCTGTTACTCGAAAAAAAAAAAACATTTTTCTGAAATCTGGGATTATTTTACATGAGAAACTGATTTTTAATCATTTGTTTTGATGTCCAAAGATACTATAAAAATTTGACTCTAAGAAATGCAATTCATTAGCACTTTAATCGCCAAGAAAAAATATATATAAGACATTAAAAAAAAAACAACTAAAAAATAATTATTATCTATATAATCCACGAGCATCTAGGGGAGAGGAGATACAGATTTGAAGTTGGAAAAAAAAGTATACATTAAAACTCATAAAATTATTGTTCCGTAAAGTTTAGGTTTTA